TTGCTATCGCCATTCTATTTGTTTAACAACTACGTGTATGACAGAAATGCCCACCACTTACCACAAAATGTATAGAGCTAAGCCGAAGGGTCTCCTGCTGTGAGGTGGTTTGTTTTGGTCCCTTTTGTACCAGGACATGGCAGAATGAAGGCAGTGTTATGAGAATTTCAACACATAATTTGCCCAATCACGCCGGAGTGAAGGAGGATGCAGGGACAAGGGAATTTTTACTAGATCTGCTTCGTGTAGGCTAAAGATGCCTGCACTATCTTCAGTCCTAAAAGACAGCCTTGTAAGAGTAACATTACCTAAGAATGGGGAAAAGTTGGCTGATGCAAAGCTAACTGCTGCTAGTACTTCAGTTGGCTTGGGGTAGAGAGTGTCACCTAGGCAGAGGTGATGAGCGTAATGTATTTTGAAGGAATCATGTCTGAATAAATATGAACTTCTTCTGAGATATTTTCTGGATCTTGAGCAGCCAGGCAATGTCTGGTTAGGAAATCAATTATTTTTAAGTAGCAATTTTATAATGCAGAAGAAAATCTGGAAGCTGAGCTGCGTCCGAATCTTAATGTTAATTAGCTGGTTGGTACACATATGTTGGATGGCTGGCAGACAGCAAAACAGGGCTGTTTCAGGGTCAGATATGTTACTGCCGCCCTGAACACAAATGCTGTGTTGCCGATGTGGTGTGCTGGAGACTGTGTTTCCCCACCAAAACAATAAAGGAAATTTGAGGATGCTGGGTTTTAAGACTGTCATTGGTGGGTTTTATGTCTTGGTGATACTGAGTATGAGATCATTAAACAGACTGCCATCCTGGCTAAATAGGAGAATATTTTCTCTAATTCATGAGATATTTTAACCTACATATATTTGAGCACATAAACAGGTAAAATTGTCTGTTTTCTGATAGTTGCCAAATCCCACTGTTCGGTGATAAAGTCAGTTAAAACTGACAAGATTTTTGACTTAAGTTAGACTGAATGATCTATTCCCAGATATGACTAGTAAAAAAATAGAAAACCACAAAAAACATTGTGAATATGGACAACCTTCAGTTGATAATAGTCTTTCTATAAGAACAGATTTTACTGCAGAGATATTTCTGTTAATGTGGTCAACATGAATGTAATTTGACTCTGTCTATTTGGTAAACATGATAATACCCTGCATTATTCTCTATATTGCAAACTCTAATGTAGGTTCTGTTGTCTTTACAAACCAGAATAATTTCTATTCAAGATTCATGAAGTTCACCTAAAAGGTCAGCTGTCAGCATGAGATACCAGAATTTTGCTGACTAGACACTGTCCAGAGAGTCTGCTATGGTGTTTCTAAGCCAGTTTCATCCAGCTTGGGAGGCATTGGTAGCTCAGAGATCAGTTGCACTGCCAGGTTGTGCCTGTGGGCAGCAGGCACATTCCATTCTGTCCTTCACTAACCTCTTCTTGCGTGCTTCTGCTCTCCATGCCTTCCCACCTCTTACCACCACCCCTGGTGCTGCCCTCTAAATCCAGCCTCTTCCCTGCCTATTCCTGAGTGTAGCCAGGGGTGCTGAGGTTGGTTCTTGATCTGTGGCTCAGAAGGCTCTCCATTCCAATGGGAATTAGATCCTACCTGTTTTCTACCTGCAAATGTTTTTTCTGTCAGTGGTGCATGTTTTGTGGTTTAGGATTTCCTCACTTGTGAAAGCTGTAATAAGCTTAATGGAACAATCTTTCATCTGCTTTGCATCTGGCACGAGAGCGTGTAGCGCACTCTTAAAATTTAAGTCTGTTTAATCTGACAGTTTTTGATCTCATCACCCTTACCAGTGCTTAGTTCTACTCTGTAGTCTACATATTTGACCCTGTGCTCTAGGTGGTGAATGAAATAACTGGATTCCCAGTTATGGCATGTCATCTTAGTAATTTTGTATTTCATATGTGCCTGCCTGTATTGAGAGAAAAACCTCCTGGGATATTCAAGGACAGGCAATAGGCTTAGCCAAAGGGAATTTTTTTTGGTGGCTTTTGGATATTCTGATAAGAGAACTAACCTTGTTAGAGTTAAAAGAAAAAAAAAAAAAACCGCAAAAAATATGGCCAGACGTCAAGTTAATCTTTTGAAGTGTTTTTTTCTCTTCTCTGAATTCCCACTACCAGAACACATCTTACAAGGTAGAGCGTTCTCGCCAGCCTGCTTGTCGCACCACTGCGCTGTTTTTCTGCAAGAGCCCTAGTCGCCAATAGTGCGTCATCAAGACAATAAAGGTACTGTCAGAGACCATTTTAAACACTTTTGTTGTCCTAAATTTCTAGTTGTATTGCTCATTCTTTCCCCTTAACCTCTTGGCTTTCCATTTTTTCAATAAGACGTGTTTTTTCTCAGTTAAAAAAAAAAAAAAACCAAACAAAACAACAACAACAACAAAAAACCTTTCAGAATAATGCTGTGTGTCACCTATGCTACCCCTGCAAGGGAAATGTGCAAACAGAAATCTGGAGCACCTTGACCAGCCAAGCAACTTCACTTATCCTCTAACTGCTGAACTTGGCTCTGAGAATTTTATGCTGATGTCCTGTGCTCCCTAGCCTACAGATAGTAGGGTCAGGTTGGGATGAAAATACTGTATTCAACAGGCATTTTTCTAGGCAGTTCAAGAAAGAAGCTAGCCTTCTTGATAGTAACAGAATATAAAACAAACACTGGATTTCTTCCCTTTGCTTACAAGTAACTTGGCTTTGTGTTAATAGAAACAACATTTTCAAGAATTTAAGAATACATCTAACAGTACAGTGTTTTATCTTTCCATGTGTGTGTTTTATTACTTTTATATGTTAAAGATAGCAATCTAACCAGAAGTAGTAGTCTGTGGTTTTTTGCTTGCTTTCCCGTTTTCAATAATAGTTGCCTTGTAATTGGCAGTCCTGACTTGTATTTCTGCCTTGCATTGACTTGTGTGATTTCAGTTTGTGTCTTTCTGTCTCATTTTCTTACTTGATGAAAGTGTCAGTGATAGTTGGATCTGTATTGCAGAAACAGTAAGATTTATCTTGCTGTTCCTTAGGAGAAAAAAATAAGACATAAGAATGCTTATATGCCAGTTGTGTATGATTTTTTTCAGTTAATTTGAAAATCTTAAAGATTAATTGAAACAGGTTACAAGATATCAGAAGAAATGCCCATGTTCATGTGAGAATAAAATGAGGAAAAAATCTCGTTTGAATTTAAATTGTGGCATTTGTATTCTTTCCTAATAAATAGTCAGATAACTGGAGAATTTGGTATTTCAAAACTCAAGATGATCTTTAAGGTCCCTTCTAACCAAAACCATTCTGTGATTCTATGATGTTCGTTTGATGCTATTGGCAACAGTATTTGCTTCTTCACTGGTTGTTAGAAGGGAAAGAGAAGGATATCTTGTCTTAGACCCATAGTTGTCTTATGCTGTGAACACTACTCCTTCAATTCTCAGTGCTTTTTATCTTTGTCAAAACCCTTCCAAACTGTTGGGAGCTAGGGAAACAAGGGTTGCTTTAAAAAAAAAATTCAATTTCTTAAAAGCTGTTTTAGTTCTTCCAGCATGCATTATATAAAACAAATCTGCATTATTTTATGACGAATGTGCACCTGTGTATGCACACATATGTATTTGCACTTATGTATGATGATGTGGATGCATTTTTTGTGTATAAACTTGTTTCTGTTTTTATACTGTATGTAGTATGTGTATGCTTCAAAGTACAATGTGCCTCTGTTCACATAGCTTAATTTTTTTAGAAGTGTCTTGGAGGCCGTGCATTGTTTCAGTAAAAAACTGTTTACTTACGAGGCTGTGAGGGCTGGATATTCCAACTAGTTAACTGGGGGTTTTAGATACTTTCCAAGTAGCTTCCTGGTGACTCTTTGCAAATAGCGTCAAGTTCAGAGCTGTACTGTGGTCTAGGGTGTCTCTTCTGGTTTTGTTTGGAATTGTTTTCTGTTTAGAAATGTATATTAAAAAGAAAAAAAGTCATATTTCTGGATGGCTACATGTTAATAAGTCACTCTAATTTCTGTTTGTATTTAACAGGAGAGAGTGGACATTTTTAGAACATGACATCCTAAATTAAATCTCTGCAGTAAGTATATCAATCACTCCTTGAAAGTTCCTATTTGTCCACATTGACTGTAAAGTGAATGTAATGGATGACTTGCTGAGCTGCAGCTGTTTACCTTTTTTGAGGCGAGTCTTACGTCCGGTGCTGTCCTCTGAAGCCCTCCCATTTGTTAGCTTTTACTTTGCCCTTAAAGCAATACCAGGAAAATGGGGAGAATTATTCGTCCCACCCCCATGCTTATTGCTGTTAGGATGGAAGTATTACAAGGTGAATGTAATAATTTAAATGAATTGTAGTAGGAAGATAATTGCAGACCCCTTGTGGGAGCATAATAATCAAACATTAGCAAGTAAATAAACAACAACATAGAAAATATGACGTAGAAGTAGCCCCTGAGATAACCCGGTAGCCTGCAAGCCATTCTTCGGTGGCTTTCAAATCATTACTAGATTAAACCTTTCTCAAATCAGACAGTGATGGTAATGTCAAAATCACCTACGCCTGTTTTGTTTTGATTTTCAGGTAGTTTGAAATAAATATACCCAGCTTTTTTGTGGCTCCAAACTACTATTATGCCAGGAAGCTGATTCTGCAGCTGCTTGTGAATGCAGTCTGAAGGCCGCCTGTGGTGTGCCAGTGACCATTGGCCAGGACACAAAGGCATTCTGTAACCAGAAAAATGACTGGCTTTATTGAGGAAGAAACAAAGAAGAAACCTTTTTTTCTTGCGTAGTTGGAAGGCAAGGCAATGCAGTCTTGACAGCTGGTTAACTTAAAGAAGCATTTTTCAAAATACCTCATGGCTGTGCGGATCTTGTAACTCTGTCACAAACGTGCCTTTGGACTTGTGCAAATAAATCATTGGAAGAACTGATTGGGCAAAGCAGTCATTGAAAGAGTAGCTGTTGAAGAATCATGACAAAGCACTTGGAGATCATCAATTTGTCATTTTTGTTGGAACATGAAAGGGAAACAATATTGGGAGTGTTGAAGAGAGATGAGTATCTGAAAAAAGTTGAAGATAAAAGGATAAGGTAACCCTTTCTTTATTGTTCTTAAAAATATGGTCAGTAGTATAGATATTTTTGTCGTATCCAGTGAAGATTTTCTAGATGCCTCAGGGGAAGGTTGAGTGTTGGGAGGTGGCACAGTTAATTATAAGTCAAAGTGAAGTGTATTAAAAAGAAAACTGCTTGCTAGTGTGGACTTCTGTAAAGAGAAGATTGTGTCCATTGCTTTGAGGCAAAACAGTAAGAAAGGTAACAAGTGCAAAAGTACACAGAATTGTGTTTTACATGTCAGATTCTGTAGATTTTACCTAGTGTGGCTGAATTTCTCCCTTGTAAATGGAAGGCTTTAGGAAGGTTCTTAAACTTTCTTCCTCTGAGAAGAGCTGCATGCTTTGTGCCTTCAGAGATGACTGCAGAAGGGGAAGTTTGGAAGGTGTCACAGGGATAGAAAGTAGGTGTGTGCCTGGGTACAGAAGTCCATACAACATGGGGCAGTTACAGTACATACAGAACACAGAGGAGGATTGTCATTTTTCAATTGACTTAGATATACTGATAAATAAATAAAACTGAAAATCTCAGGTATGGGTCTCAGAAGTCACTGACGGATGAAGTAGAGGCTCAGGGTATTAATAGAGTTCATGTATTCTTTTCTGAGGAAAAAAGGTAGAAGTCGAAATTCAGAGAACAATGTGTGGAGGCAGGCTGAGAGTCAGCTATTTTAGATGACTCAAATTCAGTTAGTTCAGCTAAGTATCAGTTCTGCAAAGGTTCGTATGCTTTTCCAGTATGTTGTTGCTGCTTCCTTCTGCCTCCACCCCCTGTACCCCTAAACTTTTATTCAGTGCTGGTTCTCAGAAATAGGGTCAGCATGCTTGTAGCAGCACTTGGTGTTGGCTGAGCGTAACAGATAACAAAGGGAAGATTTCCAGCATTTGTTAGTTTCTGTCTATGTGTTCCAAGGCCAGACTGCATTGTTCTTCCTTTTGATTTGCTAAAAAGCATTTTAGACTTTGTGCATTGCAGAGATGTACATTCAGCACCTGCTGAAGCTTCTTTTACATAAAAATATTATTTGGAAATCCATGTAGTGTTAGCCACTAGTTTTGGAAATCTTTCTACCTTGAGAGAGACAAGTCTAAATGCAATGTCCCTCTCGGTGCTCATCCCATTTAACTGGCGAAATGTGGTAGCCTGTCTAAATGGAATGGGCTCAAACTGATCACTGCTGCAAGACTGGAAGGAAAGTTGTTTCTTTATGGTGGTGTGGACAAATGAATCATTTCACCTCCTTCGTGATTTGTCAGATAAAGGAGAAAACAGAAGACAAGAAAACAGATGGACCACTGTTTGTTCCAGGCATTGTACTCTATTTTGTAATAGCATAAGCATTTCAAAGTATTTCAGTTTTCTAAGGTGGTGGCCTTGGAAATGTGTGATGTGCCAGTAGTCATCGTTCAAAGGCATCAGTATGAAGTGCATCAGTTTATCCTACCACGAGGTTCCCAAACCCCCAGAAAGCTTTCTCTTTCTACTACTGTCATTTCCTGGTTTCAAGTGGAAAGTTGAAACCCCTGAGATTTTTTTTTTTTGAGGGCTGTTGTTTGGTTGCTTTGGTTTTTTGTTGTTGTTTTAATACGATGTCTTAAACCCCTTAACTTTCTGCCATTTTTGGGTCTATTGGAAGTCACTCTTCCAAACCTACTGGGTTTGTGTAGCCAGGGCACCTCTGAGGGATGTGGTTCAGTAAACTGACAGGTGATATTGAACTATCTGTGTTGTGGTACAAATGGAAAGAACACCCTAAGAAAAGGCTGAAAATGAAGTTAGTCTGAAATATAATGCTAATTAGGATAACTAACGATGCAGTGTGATGCTTCTGTATGCTTCTAGCACCTGTATATGAACCAATTGGTTTTAGACTCAGAGTGTATTTGGAGAATTGTAACTAGACCACACTGTGCCTGATAATGGTGGAATGTAGTCTATAAAAGCCTTCCAAGATACACGAACTATAAAGAACTGGGTGGGTAACTGCTTCCTAAGAGACTTCATAATTTTTCTTTCTGAAAAGAAAGCTTAGCAAGGATATCTTTAATTATGGCTTATAAGTATACTTCAGAGGAACATTTGTTGTCTTTGGAATTCCATTTAGTGCAATCTGTTATATATTTAATTGAAGTACTTTGCAGAAGAACAAGTCCCTTTGTATTTATTTTCAAGGCATTTTTCAAACTGGCAAGGTAAGTGTACATTGTACTGATGAATTTTTATTAGTCTGTTCCACTCTTTCTAAATGTATCTTGATAATGGTTTTTTCTGTTCCTATTAGTTGTCAAAAGCCGTCACAACTTGAAAGGGTCTTTCTATTCAATACGAAAGCAATAGTAAGCGTAGGAGGATGTCCCAGTAATGAAATTGTTAAGAGCTATTTTCACTATCACGGCTCGTTCTTGTGTTCTGGAGTGCAGGTGGCTGTTCTTGGTTTTTTATTTGATGCACAAATATTTCACCTACATGTCAGAGAAACACAGAAGGCAGCAAGTACTCTTTCTGTGGTCTAGGTCTGATAATACAAATAAGCAACCTGCCTAATAAGTGTTAGGGTTTATGTTCTTAAGTGTGCATCTTATTTGACTGGAAATTTTCTTTGAGTATTCATTTAAAGCTGTTGTTAGATTACCTGTGCAAATAACCTACAGTGTCCTGAGCATTGCGCTACAATGCCTTTGACGTCAGTTGAATGACCATCATGATTATTTTCAAAAGCTGAGATTGTTTGCGTGGAATCATCAAGCTACATAGAGGTAAAAGAGCTAAAAATAGTGAACTTGATCATACTGAGGGTGAAAAGTACAGGTTTTGTGGTTTTGTTTTGGTGTTGTGGGGGTTTTTTGGGTTTGTTTTTGGTTTTGTTTTTTTTTTTAAACATGAGTTGCTGGGAGAACTTGCATCTAGATAATGTCAGTCAAGACATTCTGAACTGAATGTTTTGGCCTGAAACATTTATCTTTTTCCTTATTTCCCCATCCTTTTACTATTTTTAAATAGTGGTGTTTTTTTTTTCTTTGAAGACCCTTTTTATGAAAACCAATACCACACTTAATACGTAATGTTGCAAGTCATGAAATCGATACTAAATCAAAAGAAGGTATTTGCCAAAGGGGGTGTGTGCCATGTACTAGGTGTGTTTCATCTAACTGCTGTTGGTTTGTTTCTGTTCCAACAGCAGCCCTGCCACGGTGTTACACAGGGAACTGAGTCTGATGGTCACAACATTTTGCATTTGGAGCCAGTTCTTCATCCCAATATGATTATGCTACCACGGAGCAAACACTCATGACACACTTACTGCTAATGTATATTGCTTTTTTACCTTGACTATTTCCCCAGACAGCATTTAAAACATGAAAGTGCTTTTCATTCCTTATGAAGCAGAGCTGTGAATACCATGCTCGTAGAAGATAACAGCAAAATAACTGCTGATCTGAGAAAGCAAAGAAGGAACATGCCAATTTCTTTCAAAGATAAAGCTTTTTGGCATTATGACTTGAGTCATTCCCCCAGCATTTAGATTGCCTTAAGTTGTGTAAGAATTGCACCAGCTCCAGTCTGAATTGAGCAGGAAAATTCGCATTCCTGTCTTTTCAGTTAACTAAAATGGCATCTCCTTGCTAGTCTGGAGAGATCCACAGGAGCAATTTAGGGCATTAACTTAATTACAGTATAAGAGAAGCTGTTAGCATGGATACCACCATGTGGTAACTACAGGCAAGTACTTTTGGAAAAAAATATTGAGTAACAGGAACGGGAATTTACTTATCTGCTGAGTCTACAATTGGATGTGTTTATAAGCACAAAATGATAACAAGGAAGTATATGGTCTGCATTTTTGCAAAACTGCCTCTAAATAGCTGAAGGAAAGAGTCCGTATCTTACAGCATATTGTTCATACATATGTGTATGGGAAGTTAGCTGCCAGACAAGCAACCTCCTATCTCATTTGTCAAGCGAATTTGACACATTATTATTCTTTGAACCAGAGACATTTCCATTCAAAGTAGTTACTATTGCCAGTACTCTGAGGGTAGAGATACCTGTTTTGATTGCTGGCACTCTTTGAGAATGAAGATCCTCCACTGGTGAAAGAATTTCTAATGGCAATTAATTCTTAACTCTGGGTACAATTTATTTTTTCAAAGACTAGTAGGAAACCAATAAGCAATTTGAATTTTTTCTATCTTAGTTTTTAGTTGAAAGGATGAAGGATTCACTCAGAAAAAAGTTCATCTGTGGAAGTTTGTCATCATCATAGTATCCGATATCATTTCAGTTCCCATGCCTCCTTTCCTTCTCTTTATTGGGCTCCATTCTGCCATTTGTTATGCCACTTCTCTTTTCCTTTGCAAATTCATTCTTTGCCTTTCTCTCTTTCCTTTCATTGACTCCAATATACCTCCATACTCAGATATTTTTAAGACTGTTTCTAATGATACAGATGTGTTACATAAGCAAAATGTGAAAGTCTGTGCTTATAAGGTAAGAACCTAAAAAATACTTTAGGTACTCAACTGGCTAGATTTTAGAATGCAAGGAAATGTCAGTGGAAATTGGTAATAGCCTATCTTTTTGCCAATTGTAAATATTTACTGTTACTTTCCAAATATTGTATCAGACAGTGGAGGGAATCTGGTTGAATTTGGAGGGGTACTGGGAGTCAGTCTGGAGAGGAAATTTCCTTATTCCCTCAGACTCTAGAAGTGTGTTTATACGAGTTCCTGCACAAAAAAAATTCTCTTTTATGTAAGTCAACAGCTGCACAGCCTTGGAAGGAGAGTTTGTCAACCCATATGTGCAGGAAACCAAACTTTCTTAAGAACAGGTGCAACACTGGAGCAATTTCTGATATTTAAACTTTTTTCCTGGTGAAGTCTTTAGTTATAGTTAGTTGAGTACAGTTTCTTTTACTGTAATTTTTATGACTCTTTGAACTCTGGAAACTTAAAATGGAAAAATAAAATTAG